CACACACACACACACACACACACACACACACACACACACACACACACGTGCACATGAGTGCCACCAGGAGAAATAAATGGTTGGGTGGTGTCCACAGGGGACGAGAAATTACATCCGGCCTGTGATTTACAGAGATATAAAAATACTACTCAACACAGTGAGTTCCCTTCCAGTAAGGATTTTATAGTTTCTATAAAAATGATGCACACTTGTTATAAAATATAATCGTCAACATTCCAGGAAGGAACCAAGTATCCTCCAACTGCAGCCCCCAAAGCTGTGGCGTTGCTATGCTGTGTTCCGTGACGTCTCGGCTGAGATGGAAGGATGAGACAGAGTTCAAGGCCAGCCTTGGCTACAGAGTGAGACCTTCTCTCAGTAGATAAAACAAAATGGCTGAGGAGATGGCTCAGGCACCAGAGTGCTTGCCATGCAGCTTGCACTCCAGCGTGAGCTTGGCTGCTGGAGCACTGCAGTTCTGAGCAGCACTGTGGTGATGGTGCTGTTGGGCGAGGACACCGAGGCCCACAGTGACACCCATCAACTGTGCAGTGTGCTGTGTGTGAGCGGCGGGCGCTGCCCTGCTCTGCGTGGCCCGGCTAGGTGTGTGGAAACAGGCAGAGCCTGGGGGTGCTTGACTTCGGGTCTGCCCGTGGTTGTCTCAGCCAGTCACATCCACTGGGGCAAGGGTAAAGTGTCCCCTGGGGGATGGGCAGAGCCTGCAGCAGCCTGGCAACACCAGGGGTGCTGCCAAGACCAACGTGAACATGCTGAGTCCTCTGCTCTCTCTCTCTATCCCCCCCCAGACAGGGTCTCTCTGTGTAGCCCTGGCTGTCCTGGAACTGGACACTCAACCTCCCAGAGATCCGCCTGCCTCTGCCTCTTGTGTGCTAAGGATGTGTGTGCGCTACCACACCTGGCTGCCACCCTGCCCTCCCTATCTTTTGCCATCCTTCACTGGTCAGATGGACAAGCACTCTGGGACAGCTGCCCTCCAACAGCTCCAGGAAGACACATAGGTGAGGGCGCGCGAGCCTGGTGGCGCCTGCCACTGGCATTCTACTGGTGTCTGTGGATCCTGCACACAGCACGAGCTCCCAGTCACCTGCCTCAGCAGGAAGGCATCGGATGTCTCAGGCAGCCACAGCAACTCTGAGGGCAGCCTGAGCTAGGTCTCACGGCTTAGCACTGCTCACACTGCACGCTCACTGCCCAGCACGCGGGGGTCTGAGCCAGCGTCCGCAGACACAGAAACATGACGAGACTGTAACATGGCGCAAAAGTGGCCAAGTGATGGACACTAACCCAGTTCCTGCTGACCTACCTGCCCTGTGGAGGCGAGCAGGTGGGTTACTGAAAGGAAAAGCTGCTTTCTAAAACAGCAGCTTGGAACAAGCAGAAAACAACCGTCAGCACAAAGACATCTGCGGCTAGAGCAGAGATGAAGCTGAGCTGGTGAGACCTACCGAGTTTGGGGTGACCTGAGTTCAGTCCTGAGACACTCACACACTAAGACAAAGCGTTCCCCTAAACAAATAAATAAAACGTAATTTAAAAGCAGGAAACTTGTGTTGGGACACAGATGAGGTGTTAGTGCTTGCCTCCCAAGCAGGAGCCCCGGGTCCACCCTCAGCATCATAAGAAGCAGGTGTGGCAGACACCTGTAACCCCAGCACTCCTGACCTGGAGACAGAAGGGGTTGGCTACACAGGGAGGTTGAGGCCAACCTGGACAACAGGAGACCCTGTCTCAAACCACTTAAAACAAGAGGTCGGATATGTCAAAAGCCAAAGCGTTTCTCACTTCCTGCTTTGTATTCTGGTTTTGTGCAAAGAAAAGAACCCAGAGAAAGGAAAGCGAGCTGGTGTGCAGCTGTGAGCACAAAAGGTGGACATTTGCTGTCACTGCTTTCACTGATGGGTTCTGATGTGAGGCCCAGGTCCATGGCAGGCTGAGTCAATTCGGAAAGCTGTCCAAGGCTCTGTGGTGAGGGCCACACTGGGCGAGACATCAAATCACACCGGTGGTCAGCCCTGAGGGAGTCCTGTGACCTACACAGATGGGAAGAACAAAACGGAGGCCAACAGAGGACGCACCTAGCATGCTGCAGGGCTGAGCCATGTCCCCGAGTCCCCACAGAGAGGGTCTCGCGGGGTGGCACAGGTGAGTCTCAGGTCTTCCTGCCCTGTGGGCAAAGGGGCTCTGCGCTGCTCCAGGCAGCGGGGACGTGGCCCTGTGCTTTTCTTCTCAGCACTTGTCCTTCGCCTCCGGCTCCCCATCCATTATGTCCCTAAAGCCCAGCTTCTCCAGCGGTTCCGGGGCCATCAGCTGCCTGGAAGATGAAGACTGTCATGAAGAAGGAAGGACGGGAGAGGGAGGGTGACATCCACCAGGCTCCTACCTTCATTCACCTGCCCAGGCTCCCAGCACCCCAACGCTAAAACAAAAACTAATCCAGAAATCGGGGCTCTCCCCACAGGCAAGGAGCCAACAGGCCATGCCAGCCTCCCGGCCACACTGGCACACTGGCAGCTCAAGCTCACAAAGGCAGGGCCTGAGGATGTGGGTGGGGCCAGGTGGCCCCACGTGACCACACAGGTGTGGGCAGCGCTGGGAGGAGCTGAGCCTAGGTTAAGTGTCTTCCCAGGTGTGGGGACCCTGAGGATGGGGGTGGGAAGAGGAGGGGTGTACAGACTGAACCACCTACCTGTGTCGACTTTAGCGGGGCGTGTGCTTTGAGCGCCGCCTCTGGGTCACTGTGAAAGTGCACTCGGAGAGACAGGGGCCAGAACGTGGTACTGAATGGCCCAGCCTTGATACCAGTTTCATAATCCCAGCGCCGCTAGCCCCTGACCAAGCCGAGGCCTAAGCCACCAGCCTTACAGCTACCTGAATGCAGCTGCCCTGTGAGGACGGGCACAAGCCCAGCACCGAGCGCTCTGGCCTGGCCCATGACTGGCCGACCACACTCGGAGGCCCATGCGGTTGCCAACCCCAGCTCACCCCTCCTGCCCCCATACTACACTCTACTTCCCACAGCAAGAAGTGCCTGGAGAGAGGTGTGTTGTGAAGCTGGACACTGTCTCGACCCAGGGACTTCTCTGCCCTCCTAATCCCAGTGATGATCTCCAAGGACAGACACATCTGGGCCCACGGCCTGTGGGTCCTGATGTGGGAGCAGAGGACTGGCTTGGAGGTCACACACTAACCACAGGGATAGTGCCTGGCTCTGGACAGATAGCAAGCATCAGGAGGAAGGTGACTCAGGGTCTGGAAATGCAGGGACAGGTCCCAACACACACACACACACACACACACACACACACACACACACACACACA